TCTGCGTAGACCCGCGACCAGCTCCACTGCCACCCCCGCCGCCTCCGCCGCCTCCGCCGCTCCGCTACTACCGCCGCCTCCGCCGCCTTCCTCCACCGCCGCCACCTCCGCCACCTCCGCTCCCACCGCCACGCCGCCGCCGCCTCCGCCTCCACTGCCGCCACCGGACACCTCCACCCCCACCTCCACTCCCACGGCCACCCCCACTCCCCCCGCCGCCTCCACCTCCACCTCCACCGTCCCCCGCTCGCTCCTCCAGTGCACGTGCCCCCCTTGCCTTTGCCAGAGCGGCCGTCTCCCGCTAGGGGCAGACGCCGCACGACCGACTCAAGACCAAGGAGGTCGGCCGTAGCAGCAGAGGCAACAGAGGGCAGAAGGAGGGAGGGGGAACACCCCTCAAAGATGGGGGTGCGCGGGTCACCAAGAGAGGCCCCTACAGCGACTATGCTCTTCTCGGCCGCTAGGAGGGACTTCTCGAGGAGGTCAACAGTGAGAGTGGTGGGACAGACTGAGAGGAAGTGGTCCCCTGACTACGCGAAGAGAGTCAGGGAGGCGAGTTGAGTACGTAGTAGAGAGTGATGTACATGGGGGGGGGGTTCTTGGCGCAGAAGTCAGCAGGAAGCGCAGCGCGGTAGCGAGTGTCACTAGTGCGGAGGTGCGTGATGAGGTCAGCGACTGTGGGAAAGGCAGCAAGGTCACGGAAGAGGTACGGTAGCATGAGACGGCTCAGTGCAGCAGTGGCAGGGGAGGAAGTAGCGTGCAACTACAACGTCGTACAAAGTCTGAGCACTCTTGTACTGACTAAAGTGCGCACGCTCAGAGGTAGGGAGGTGGCGACGCACAGCAAGACGTGCAGCAGCATCGCGCGTGGCCCACTGTGAGCGAACAGTTGGCGTCAGCATCAGCAGCAGGAGCAGGAGAGGCACCGAGGTGAGGTCAAAGAGGGAGAGACCGTCTGCCCTATCGCACTGTAAGAGCAGCTGCAGGTCATCTACCTAGACGTCAAAGTCAATGGCTCGACCCTCGGCGTCAAAAGCGAGGACACTAGGGTAGCCATGACAACAGTAGACTAGCAGCGCACACAGTAGGGAAAGGGCAGTGCAGTGACAGAGTCGGTGTGCTTACCGGACGGGGCTGCTCGGGCGGCTCGGAGGCTCGGTGGCTCGGCTGCACGGTGGCTCGGCTGCCGGGCGGCTCGGCTGCTGGGCGGCTCGGCTGCAGGGCGGCTCGGCTGCTCGGCTGCTGGGCGGCTCGGCTGCAGGGCGGCTCGGCTGCTCGGCTGTCCGGTTGCTCAGCTGCTGGGCGGCGCGGCTGTGCTGCTGTACGGCGGTGCGGCGGTCGGTTGCTCGGCTAGGTGAGGCGGCTCGGGCGGCTCGGGTGGCGGGAGGCGCTGCAGCAGATGACGAGGCCGCAGGGAAGGCGGCGGGGCCGCAAGTGAGGGCGGCTGGGACCGCAATTAAGGGCGGCGGGGGCCGCAGGTAAGGGCGGCAGGGACCGCGGGTGAGGGCGGCGGGGCCGCAGGTAGGGCGGCTGGGCCGCAGGTAGGGCGGCTGGGCCGCAGGTAGGGCGGTTGGGCCGCAAGTAGGGCGGTGGGGCCGCAGGTAGGGCGGCTGGGCCGCAGGTAGGGCGGCGGGGCGGTGCCGTAGGTAGGGCGACGGGGCCGGGTCGAAGGTAGGGCGACGGGGCCGGTACGCAGGTAGGGCGACGGGGCCGGGGCCGGGGCGCAGGTAGGGCGACGGGGCCGGGGTCGGAGGTGGGGCGACGGGGCCGGGGTCGCAAGCAGGGCGACGGGGCCGGGGCCGGGGCGCAGGTAGGGCGACGGGGCTAGGGCCGGGGCCGCAGGTATGGCGACGGGGCCAGGGTCGCAGTTAGGGCGACGGGGCCGGGGCGCAGGTAGGGCGACGGGGCCGAGGCGCAGGTAGGGCGACGGGGCCGGGGCCGTAGGTAGGGCGACGGGGTCGCTAGGGCGACGAATCAGGGGCCGCTAAGGCGGCGCGACTTGGCCGCTAGGGCGTCTCGACGAAGTCAGAGACGGGAGCGCGACTCGGGCTGAGCGCGCTCCGGGCTGGAAAAAAAAACTTTCGACTTGGTGGGCCCTAGGCACAGTTCCCAGGAGGGAACCTGCTCGATACCATGAGAAAACTGAAACGAGAATGGGACACTAAGGAATGGAATGTGGTACAAATATGCAACCCTAGAAATGTGTACCCCATATGGGCTACCCCACTACAGCCTACAGAACATCATGATTTGACACTGACGTCTTCCTTTTGTGCCTTTCTTCTTGTAGGTCCATGTCTTGCTGCTCGGCATGAATTTCGGAGCAAAGTGCTGCTTCGGAGATTCTTCCGTGAGCTCAGAGAATGGCTTTTGTGGCACGCCATTGAGGACCGAGGCCGCCAATGATGACTCTCACGGAGGCGTCTTCAGATATCGACCCTCCGCATCAAAGGAGTTTGTCGCGCAATTCGCGATAGCGACTGATATACGCCATCCCCTTTTCCCCTGGTTTCATTTTGACTGTTGTCAGTTGCGCCATTAGTCGACTCTGACTTACGCTGTCTGTTGCTTGGTACAGGCTTTTCAAGTGGCTGTATGCGAGTTCTGCGGAGTTGCCGTATCCCCGGTAAGACCGTATATTCTGTTGCCGAGTCGGGGTGATATTCCTCGGTAGGATTGTGTACGCCATCATTGACTGATAGGTGTACTGCTGCTTCTCGTACTGTGTGCCGTTTGTTGGGTATGGCAGGGATCCGTTGAAGAAGCCGAGGATTTGCGCGCCTTCCATCATCAGCTCGAGCTCGAATGACCAGATAAAGAAGTCCTTTCCGTCGAAAGGTCTTGACGTCTGCAACTTCAAAACGTGCGCGAACTGTGACTGAACTTGTAGCGCGTCCAGTGTCTTCTCTTGTCCAGGTGCAGGCTGCGGTTGTGGCATAAAACTGACGGAGCCGCGGTGGGGCTCGTACGGAGCAAAGGTAGGTTGCTGCTGTTGATTTCCACGTGCGTAGGATGAACCATCAAGGCTCATTGGAGTTACGTCGTTGTTGTTGTTGCTGTTGTGTGACTGCGCAGGTGCCGATTGCTGGTGTTGCTCGTAGAAGGACATGAAGGAGAAAAACTTCTCCATCATGCTCTGGTCGAAGCCTGCAGGTTGATTCGCGGGAGTCTCGGTGGATGTTGCCCTGGGTCTTGTTGCCGTACCCTCCTCTCTCTGTAGGCCAGAGGCAGGAGGTGGAGTAGGAGTAGTGCCGGGAGAACCAATAGAGGAACTCCTTTCCTTCTGAGTAGTCATGTTTTCTGATGTTGTAGGTGTCTTGATAGTTGAATCCCCCTGATAGCTCTCATACCATGTTGGGCTGAGAAAATAGCCCTTAGGATCTTTGCACGGGTGAACTCTGGGTAGAACTGATGTAGTAGCGGAAACGTTTAATGAAGAGTTGTGAACCACCTTGCGCTAGTATATGAGGGCAAAGTTGATTGATTAAAGCAAAGAGATACAAGATTATATATGAATACAGGGAATATTCAAAGACACAGTTATAACTACTTTACTGTTGCTGTTGCGGTTCGATACAGTGACGACTCGGGCAACTGCTCTGTAAAGAGTTAGTCGTGTGTCCTTGCTGCCGCGCTGTACTTGTCAGGTCAAAGGTCGCTGACCTTTGACTTTCGCGTAGCCTCCGACAGTTGCTTCAACCTCTGAGGGTTGACTCGCTGGTGCTTCGATAATGTTTTGCTTCGATAGTGTTTTGCTTCGCTTGGGTCTTGGTGTTTCAACACGACAGAGGCGCTTAAGTTAGTTGTTTCCAACAAATGTCTTAGTGTTGCACCAAATCAAGACCAGTTGGAAAAATCATGTGGCATGGCAGGGATCGCGTGGGCTGGGCTAAAAGTAATGACAGGTGGAGGCAGTTGAGATGAGATGAGACTACATTTTGTAATGCTTCCTTTCAGACCCCTGGACTTTCATTGCATCAGAGACCAAGTGGTTGATTCTGTCATCTTCTTTAAAATATTGTGTCTTTGCATAGAGCTGTTAGTACAGAAAGTAAACGTGGTGCTTTGTTTCTTCTGTACCTGTAATCGAGTCAATACAAACGCAGAGCTCTCCGTGCTTACCCTTTCACCCGCACAAGGGCCATTCCTGCCTGATCTCAAAATGTACTTTTTGCCACGTCACATCATATCCATTCATCACATTGCAGTGTGCAAGAGTAGGGTAGAACTTCTAGCAGTGAATTGCTCGTCCATTGGCCAGACACGCGACGCGATTTGCTAAGCCTGCGCTGCTGTAACGCGAGAGCGTGTGTGGGTGGGTGTGTGTTTTACCGTTTGAATGTGCTGCAATGGCAGCTGCAATGCGATCGTGCTGCCATCTGCCGTGCGCTCCGGCCCTTGGGAATGACGGGCACGAAACGCGTCGCTTTGGCGCCTTTCAGGGTAAGGCGATTCGCGGGAGCGGCACAATGTACTCACCTGTCAAATGCGCGTATCGAACTGCCGAAATTGACTCGATAGCGGGGACAGGGAGAAGACCAGCAGCTGGTCGACCATTTCGAGTCGTCACCGCGAGGTTACCATCGGGTTTTGCGGGGCCTCAAGACGGAAGGCTAGCAGCAAGACCGTCAATTGCGGGGAAGTTGCGACTGGCGGAGGCAACGCGATCCGCTGCTCCTGGCGCGCGGGTCAAAGCGCACGCCTTGGCATGGCGGAGCGGAGACGGGCGGGGGGGAAGCGGGGGTAATGACGGAAGGGGGAGAGGGGGCGGCGGCGGAAGAGGGGGAGATGGAGGCGGAGGGGGAGGCGGAGGAGAGGATAATGGAAACGACGGAGGTTGCGGAGGGCAAGGTGGTAACCAGCAGGAACATGGTTACTTGTTCCTATTGAAGCTGTTTTCTGATTGGTCCAACTCCCGTCTCGACGCCCTCTCTCCTCTATTCCACAACCGCCTAATCACGTTTCCGAGCGCATTATCACTCTCCGCATTTCTGCTTATCATGCTTCCGCTGCTCGTCTCCCCGCTAGCGCGCGCGGAATCCGCGCTTCTCCGCCGCCCTGCGCCTCCCCCTGCGACCGGCGCGCCCGCGGCCGACCAGGATGTGATATGGGAGCTCCACGGTGACAGGTGGCGGCGCCTGATTGGCGGAGACAGCAGCAGCAGCAGCAGCGCAAGCAGCAATAGGGGGAAGGGCCAGCTAAGGGTGGAAGTTGAATTGGAAGGCGAGGAAGCTGCTAACGCGTACGAGGAGGAACACGGACGCGTTGTAAAGGGGATCGTTACAAGCACGGGGAATGGCAATGGGAAGGCCGCAGGGGGTAGGGTTTTAGCGGGGGAGGAGGATGAGCGGAGCAGAGGGGGGGATATGGTTGCGCGGGTGGTGAGGGGAGTGAAAGCGGCGGTGGTGAGATGGATGTTACCAGAGGGTTATCCCGATAGTGTGACTCCTGACTATATGGAGTACACAGTGTGGCGCATGCGGCAAACAGTGGCGAGCGAAATGAACCACGTGCTTACAACGCAGGTGAGACGCGTTTCTATGTCGCAGGCTCCTTCAATTGAGGTCTGTTTGCTATGTCTAAGAACCTTTCTCTCCCCTGCCCTCCTCTCTCCGTCCTTTTCCTCACCTGAAGCCTTCCTTCTCTCTCTTCTCTCAAACGGTCCTTCGTGGTAAAGGACGGGCTGGGCTATGCAGCCGAGGTCACGCCCTCCCAGTTCAACATGTTGCATCCCTTCCCCCCTCGAACGGTCCTTGCATTAATCACGGTGGGTGTTACAAGGAAGGTACAAACACAAGTAAGACAAACAACCAGACCACAGTTCTACCTATCACACCTACTCCTTCCCACTCCCGGCCCCCTCTGTCCGACCCTACTGGCCGAATGGGGGCTCAATCAGCTGGTGCAGCTGTCCCTCGCTAAGAGGGACGATGGGGCCCTGCATGCCGAGCTCGTCCGCTGCCAAGGCCTCGTTGGTCTTGGAGCGGAGGGCATTGGCCTGCGCTCCCTGGAGGCAGACACTCCAGTGCTGGCGGTACTCCGTCAGCAGCTTGGCTGCCTCGTATGAGGTAGGTGCTGAGTTGTATCGCAGCTTGGCCGCTAGCTCCGCGCACTGCCGCAGGTAAGCCATCACCCCCGGGGAAGGACAGCCGTATGTCTCGACTGCAAGGGCGTGGAAGCCCACCCACGCGTTCCGTCGCGCGTATTTCTCCTCCTTCCTAGCTGCTGCCGCCCTTGCCGCCCACCCTGGAGCCCGACTGCATTCTTTATCCTGGTAGGACACGGGATCAGTCACAGTCACGTCACACAACCACACTCTCTCCCTCTCTTTCCCCCCTCTCTTCCCTCTCTCCCTCCCTCCCTTTCTCTCTTCCCTCTCTCGCTTCCCTCCCTCTCTTCCCTCTCTCCCTCCCTTTCTCTCTTCCCTCTCTCACTTCCCTCCCTCTCTTCCCTCTCTCTTCCCTCTCTCGCTTCCCTCCCTCTCTTCCCTCTCTCCCTCCCTTTCTCTCTTCCCTCTCTCGCTTCCCTCCCTCTCTTCCCTCTCTCCCTCTCTTCCCTCTCTCTCTCTCTCTTTCTCTCTTCCCTCTCTCGCTTCCCTCCCTCTCTTCCCTCTCTCCCTTCCTTTCTCTCTTCCCTCTCTCGCTTCCCTCCCTCTCTTCCCTCTCTCCCTCCCTTTCTCTCTTCCCTCTCTCGCTTCCCTCCCTCTCTTCCCTCTCTCCCTCCTGCAGGCAATGCTGTACGCGGTGGGGCTGGGAAAAGGCGCCATCCCAGCAGCAGCCGCGGTCAACTGGGTGCTGAAAGAATCCAAAGTCACGCTCTCCCAGTTCAACCTGGAACCATTCGTCTCTCCTCCCTCTCTTCCCACTTTCTCTTCCCTCCTCGCCTCTCCAGGCAATGCTGTACGCAGTGGGGCTGGGCAAGGGCGCCATCCCAGCAGCAGCCGCGGTCAACTGGGTCCTAAAAGACGGGCTGGGCTACGCTGCAAAAGTCACGCTCTCCCAGTTCGGCCGCCATTTCGACGTCTCCCCCAAGCGCTCGCGCCTGCTCTCCGACCTCTTTGAGAACCTCTCCGCCTCCCTCGAGCTCCTCACAGCCACCTTCCCGCAGTACTTCGTCCAGCTGGCCGCTGCAGCCGGGGCAGGGTTCTCTGCTTCCAGCCTCGTGCAGAGCGCCACGAGAAACCGGTTCTACGCCGGGCTGGCAGGCAGAAGAAATTTCGCCGAGGTAAGGCAGCACCTTAGGTCGGGCAGGTGAGAGTGCCGATGCGAGCAAGTGAGATTGCCGATGTGGGCAGGTGAGAGGGCCTGTTGAGGGACATTCCCTCACTCCGACCTCGTTGAGAATCTCTCCGCTTCCCTCGAGCTCCTCACGGCCACCTTCCCGCAGTACTTCGTTCAGCTGGCCGCCGCTGCCGGGGCGGGGTTCTCTGCCTCGAGCCTCGTGCAGAGTGCCATGAGAAACCGGTTTTATGCCGGGCTGGCAGGCAGAAGAAACTTTGCCGAGGTGAGATTCAACGCTGTCTTGGGAGCCAATGGGGCCAGGAGGGGGGATATGCTCCCTCCTTGGACTTTCTTACCTTCTATAATCCTGGCTGGGGTTGTATGGGTTCAAATTGCAGAAAGCCTTCAAAAAAGGCCTAACATTTATATCGGTGCTTTTATAGGCGTGTGCTGGGAATGGAAGTAAGCGGCTCTTATGGTTTTCAGGTTCACGAGTCACATGTCTTAACTCGTCAGCCTTTCATCCCCCTTCTTCTTCCCCAACCCAACCACCCCGAGTGTTGGTGTGTGCGCGCAGAAGCACAGCCGCACAGGGCATGGTGAGCATCGAGCAAGACATTGGAGATAGCAGTAGGCGTCATTACTTTTGAGGCGCCTCAAAGACAGGGCAAGATAATTGGAATGGCATGAGGCCTCGCCATCGCCCCACACATGGGCACAATAGGCCCGGTGCTGTGCTCCTCTCATTACGCTCCCCGTGTTCTCCCTTCCACTCCACCCTGCCTTCCTCTCCCACAGGTGCTAGCACGTGCAGAGGCACAGGGCATGGTGAGCAAGACATTGGGGATGGCCCTGGGTATCGCCATCTCTCCACACGTGGGCACCCGGGGCCCTCTGCTGTGTGCGACGCATGCCGTGCTGTCCGAACCGAACCTTTCGTGTGCTTTCTCTGACTGTTCCTCCTTTTCATCTCCCCCCAGGTCTTGGCGCGGGCAGAGGCACAAGGCATGGTGAGCAAGACATTGGGGATGGCTCTAGGCATCGCCATTGCTCCTCACGTAGGCACCAGGGGTCCTCTGCTGTGGCTGATCCACGCATGCCCTGCTGTCCGGCCCACCCATGTGATTGTACTTCACTTTCTGCTCCTCCCCTTCCTCTCCCCACAGGTGCTAGCACGCGCAGAGGCACAGGGCATGGTGAGCAAGACATTGGGCATGGCCCTGGGTATCGCCATTGCTCCTCACGTGGGCACGAGGGGTCCTCTACTCTGGGCAACACACGCCCTGCTGTCCGAACCCAACCATTTGTGTGTTTTCTCTGACTGTTCCTCCTCTTCCTCTCCCCTCAGGTGCTAGCACGCGCAGAGGCACAGGGCATGGTGAGCAAGACATTGGGGATGGCACTAGGCATCGTCGTTGCTCCTCACGTGGGCACCCGGGGCCCTCTACTGTGGGCAACTCATGGCCTGCTGTCCGCCGCCCACCTGTTTTGCAACTACCGCTCGTACAAGGCCGTTCAACTCAGGACGCTCAACCCCTTCAGAGCAGGTAAAATAAGTACTTGCTTGCAGGAAGCCTCACAAGCATTCAATCCAGTGGATTCAGAAGCAGATAGTTACTTCCAGAGCAGCTATTGTCATGTCATGTCTTTGAGCTGTAACCACAATTGTTTTTTAGGCGCCTCAAAAATCATCTCAAAAAGTTTGAGGCGCCCCAAAAACATTCGCCAGAGCAGCGACCGTCGTGTCTTTGAGCTGTAAGGCACGACGGTCGCTGTAAGCACAACTCAATTAGTTCCCTCCTTCACCTGTTTCTGTCTAAGTAGCTTGCTCCGCTGCGCTGTCCTCTCTGCTTCCCCTGTGCTCTCTTCTACCACTGTTCTTTCCCCAGATATTGTCCTGGCAGAGTACGTGGCCAATGGCAGGGTGCCAGGTGTCATCGAAGTCAACTCCCAGGAACCCATTCTGCCGCCCCTCAAATCGATATTTTCGCCCAAGGTATCTCTGGTGTGGTGCATGTGTGATGTATGTGTGGTGCATGTATGTATGGTGCATGTGCATTGCATGTGCGTTACAAGTGCCACTTAGCTGCAGTGCCTCACTCACACAGAGAGATCTCATCCCTCCTTCTCCCCTTTCTCTCTTCACAGGCGTCCCCTCCACCTCTCCCCGGCACAGGTAGCGAGAACTGGATTGAGTTCGGAGTGCCCTTGGCAAGTAGGCAGCAGTGGCTCACACAGACAGACGTCTCAACACTCCCTTACTCCCATTCCACCCGAACCCCCTCCCCTCCTCCCCTTTCCAGGCCTCTCCCCCTCCTCGTCCAGGCACAGGCAGTGAGAACTGGATCGAGTTCGGAGTGCCCTTGGCAGCAGTGGCGCAAAAAGAGACCTCTCAACCCCCTCATTCCCCCCTCTCCACCCGTTCCCCTCCCCCGCCCCTTCTCCGCGTCCCCTTTCCCAGGCGTCTCCTCCACCCCTTCCCGGCACAGGGAGTGAGAACTGGATCGAATTTGGGGTGCCCTTGGCCGCAGTGGCGCACACAGAGCGGGAGGCTGAGACCATGGCTGATATATTCCGAGGAGAGAAGTACCTGCTTGGGCGGGACGAGCGTACGGGGCAGATGCAGGTGCGTGTGCTGCTGCGCATGCTTGTGTTTTGAGATGGGAGTGAGGCACACAGGTGTGCTGTGCTGTGATGTGCAGTGGGAGGAGGCAGAGGCGGTGGCTGGGATGGGATATGCCGAGGAGAGAAGTACCTCCTTTGACAGGACGAGCGTACAGGGCAGATGCAGGTTCATGCTGTGTGCATCTGTGTGCGTGGGTGGGTGGGAGAAACGGGAATGTGTGGGGGCCTGCAGGTTGTGTTGAAAGAGGGATCTGTCTAGGGACCTCCTCCGGGCGGCCTTACAAATCCGGCCACCTCCGCATGTGTGCCTCCTCGTCTCAATCCCGTCCCTTCCACCCCTGACACTCACCATGCAGGTTGTGTTAAGGGTGTCACGCCGCCGCACGGAGGAAGTCTCGAAAGAGATCCCTCTCTTGAAAGAGCACCATGCAAGTTGAGCTAGAAGAGGGATCTACTTCGGGACTTCCTCTGTGCGGCGCTCCAAGCAGACTACCTCTCCTCTTCCTCTCACATCCATTCCTTCTCCTCTTACCTCCATGCATTCTCACCCCTGTCACTCACCAGGCTGTGTTGAAAGAGGAGGCTCTACCTCGGGACTTCCTCCGAGCGGCCTTACAAGCCGCCTACCTCTGCACGCTTGCCCCACTTTTTTTGAGGCGCCTCACTTTCTCTTAGTGCTGCTGCCCTTCCAACCATGAGTGACGACGGTCTTACAAGCCGCCTACCTCTGCACGCTCGCCCCACACCCCCTCTGCCCCACCATCCACTCTTTCTGCCCACTGCAAGCTGTCTGCATCTAGATTCTCACCTCTTGCTTTCCCACCCACCCCTATCTGTCACCCACCATCCAGGTTCTGTTGAAAGAAGGAGCTCTCCCTCGGGACTTCCTCCGGGCTGCCCTCCAATCCACCTGCCTGCCGCTAGATTGATCTCCTCGTTCCATCGCCATGCCTCCTCACCCCACGCACTCACCATCCAGGTTCTGTTGAAAGAAGGAGCTCTCCCTCGGGACTTCCTCCGGGCTGCCCTCCAATCCACCTGCCGCTAGATTGATCTCCTCGTTCCATCGCCATGCCTCCTCACCCCACGCACTCACCATGCAGGTTGTGTTGAAAGAAGGAGCTTTCCCTTGGGATTTCCTCCGGGCTGCCCTCCAATCCACCTGCCACTAAATAATCTCCTCGTTACACCGCCATTCCTCCTCACCCCACGCACTCACCATGCAGGTTGTGTTGAAAGAAGGAGCTCTTCCTTGGGATTTCTTCCGAGCGGCCCTGCAAGGCGCCTACCTCCGCACTCTCTCTCCACACCTCTTGCCTTCTCACCCCTATCAACCACTCACCATTCTTCTTGCAGGTAGTGTTGAAGGAGGGGGCCCTCCCAAAGGACTTCCTCCGAGCGGCCCTACTAGCCGCCTACCTCCGCACGCTCTCTCCACACGTCCTCTGCCCCACCATCCACTCTTTCTACCCACCATCCATGCAGGTAGTGTTGAAGGAAGGAGCAGTCCCTCGGGACTTCCTCAGAGCGGCCCTGCAAGCCGCCTACCTCCGCACTCTATCTCCACACGTCCTCTGCCCCACCATTCATTCCCTCGCCCCCCAAGCGCGCACCCACGTCCAAGCCCGCGCCGCCGAGTTTTCCTCCTTGGGGAAGCAGATCAAGGTGCTGCATGCTCTCCTCTTCCCCTCACATCTATTCCTTCTCCTCTCATCCCCATGCCTTCTCACCCCTGCAACCACCATCCATGCAGGTAGTGTTGAAGGAGGGGGCACTCCCAAGGGATTTCCTCAGAGCGGCCCTGCAAGCCGCCTACCTCCGCACCCTCTCTCCACACGTCCTCTGCCCCACCATCCACTCTCTCGCACCCCAAGCGCGCACCCACGTCCAAGCCCGCGCAGCCGAATTCGCTTCCTTGGGGAAGCTAGAGGTGCTGCATGCTTCGTATGACCGCATGGCTGCGGGGTTTGATGGGTTGTGTGAGGCGCTGAGAGCGAATGGGTGGCGCTGTGACGATGGCTTGTTGGCTCGGCCAGGAGACTGGCGACTGCTGCTGGCACCTGAGGAGAAGAGGAAATGAGGGGTGCAAGTGAAGCCGAATTCGCCTCTGCTGGATTCACTTGCACTGCCCCACCTGAAAATTGCACCCCCAGCTCCCAAAAATCCCTCACTTGTGCCTTTAAAGGCAGGGTGCAACTTCTTAGGAACATTAGGGGGACAAAAATGGCATGTGATTAACTTGAATTCTATTGGACGAAAAAGCTGAAAATCCACAAGAGGACAAACCTCTCGCCTCTGAACTGCCTCGGTCAACCATCTTCCAAGCTATAATACTTCGAAATGAGGGAGGCGATTGGTGGCTGCTGCTGGCACCTGAGGAGAAGAGGAAGTGAGGGGTGCGAGTGCAGCAGCCTTTGCATTCTTGGGGAAATCAGATAGAGGTATTGCATGCTTCGTATGGTGGCCCGGCCGGTGGGCGATTGGTGGCTGCTGCTGGCACCTGAGGAGAAGAGGAAATGAGGGGTGCAAGTGCAACTGCAGCCGAGTTAGCCTCTTTCGAGAAGCTAGAGATGCTGCATGCTTCCTTTGGCCGCATGGCGGGAGGGTTTGATGGGTTGTGTGAGGCGCTGAGAGCGAACGGGTGGCGCTGTGACGATGGCTTGCTGGCGCGGCCGGGAGACTGGCGACTGCTGCTGGAATCAGTGAATAAGAGGAAGTGAGGGAGGGATGGGAGGGCGCATGCCTCATGAGCGCATGGCAAGGAGGGGCGGAGAGAGGGGGGGGGGGGGGGGGGGGGGGGGGGGGGAGAGGTTTGACGGGCTGTGTGAGGTGGTGAGGGCGAGTGGGTGGCGCCGCGATGATAAACCATTGACTGGGAAACTAGAGGTGGCGCATGTGCTACATGACCAATGGATACATTTTGAGTCAGCTCAAAGCACAGCGGTTCACACCCTCGGATGGACTAGAGGTTCTTTCTGCATGCATTGTATGATCATATGTGAGACGTGTTGATACTGTATTTGCATTTGGATTACTAGCAGCGACTAACCAAAGTAATCAGCACTCAGCTAGTTCGATTATGTAGATTGGAAATTGGAAACTGAAGATAAAGAAGCAGCGCCTCGGAGCATGACAGTCGGAGAACCCAAGTCTGAGTGAAGCGATTGGAGCAACAAAGCAGGAACTTTCTATGTCCGTTCTCCACCTCCAGAAGCAAGACACCGTTTCGTTGTTGGTAGCACGTGGTCGCAGAGCAGATGCAGCAGATGTGGAAGGTGGAGTGGTTGGTGGAGCGGGGGAGAGGGGGAGGGAAGGGGGGGGAGGCTGAGGTGAGTAGCGGTGGGGGAGGGGGAGCGACCGGGGGAGGGGCGACTAGGGAGGAGTGACTAGGGGAGGGGCGACTAGGGGAGGAGTGACTAGGGGAGGGGCGACTAGGGGAGGGGCGACTAGGGGAGGGGCGACTAGGGGAGGGGCGACTAGGGGAGGGGCGACTAGGGGAGGGGCGACTAGGGGAGGGGCGACTAGGGGAGGGGCGACTAGGGGAGGGGCGACTAGGGGAGGGGCGACTAGGGGAGGGGCGACTAGGGAGGGGGCTACTAGGGGAGGGGCGACTAGGGGAGGGGGCGACTAGGGGAGGGGCGACTAGGGGAGGGGCGACTAGGGGAGGGGCGACTAGGGGAGGGGCGACTAGGGAGGGGCGACTAGGGGAGGGGCGACTAGGGGAGGGG